ACTTTCCTGCCCTATTGACATACAGCTTAGAATGCCAACAGAAAAATCCGATCAAACATCATTTTTGGGTAAAATTAAACAATGCATTTTGGTAATTCTCTAAGTTATAGTACTTGAAACTATATGCTGGCATTTGGTTGGTTTTTGTGACAAAAAATTGACTTTGTATGCATCTTTAAAGATATGGCCCGACATTAAGAGAATTTCTAAGTACATGATGATGATCTGGATGAAGAGTCTTGATTTAAGTAGATATTTCATCTAAGAAAAAGTTCTAACACAGTTTCTCTACCTATGTTTTTAAGAGGTAGCTGCAGCTGATGAATACATGTACATTTGTAAATTTACAATAAAACTTTCAATATACTAAACCAAAATTCTTAATATTTCACAAGTTAAAATATGTCTACTGACTTTTTAAATAACAAAACTCCAAAATATGAAGCTAAATCTAAGAAAGAGGTCTACAGATTAAATATCATCAGTGTTGTAATTATGCTATTTTAAAATGTAAAATTATGCAAAATTCTCACCATAAGATGATGCAAAATGTCATCAGTAGTCACGGCTGGTACACTTGACAAAGTTGGAGGGATTCCAAATAATTCTTTTAGTTTTGGCTGCTTCACAAAGGGTCCTAAGTGTAACTCCTCAAAGCTGGTCTTCTCAAACAATTTTGGGACCCTTTCTCCAAGATCGTGCGCAGTTCCTATTGCATTGACCAATGAATAGGCATGAATATAAGCATTGACTTTGGACTGATTTTCAGTCAGTTTTTTAACACATGAAATTTCTGTTGCATATTGACATCCAAGTTCACAAATGTTTGAAACCTGAAAGCGTTCAAGAATGTATTTTTCTGTGTCTTCTGCTGTCACCAGTTTCCCTTGTTCCGCTGTTGAGGTGATGTAGACTAGACCAACTTCATTGATATCGTCTTTGGAAACGGTTAACTTTTTACCAGCACGAGATCCCACTACATACTTGTGATAATCAGCTGGCCTGGGAGATTGTCCACGACTGACCTTCATCTTTGCTAGAGAAGTTGGAGAGACATTTAATGACTGTCTTTCGCCTGACAGATGGCGACCTTTCTTCTTCTCCTCTTCCTCAAGCAGCTCTTTCTGTTGTTTCTTGCTGAGCTTAGCTTGGGCTCCAAGTGTTGGAAATTCCTCAGAATCCAATCTCTTTATTTCATATGGAGAAGGTAGCTGAGCCGGAGGAGAAATCAAATTTGTCTTTTCCATTTTCTTTCCTTTAGCCCCCCTTTTTCCTTTTTTCTTCGTTCCCTTGGCTGCAGCTCCCAGGGGTTCAGGGCTTGGACTCCCTGTTCGAGATGAATCACTTTCTGTCTTCCTCAGCAAGTCCCTTGGTGGCAATGTTGATTTTGATTTTGCACCCCCTGTTGTCTGGCCTCGTTTAACGTCTTCTCCTTTCTGTTTCATTACTCCTTCAGTTTTCTGCTCAGCTGACATTTCTGCTAGTAAATTATCTTCTGTGCCAGAGGGTTTTCCAAGTTGTTGGTCCTTGCTTGAATCTGCCACAATCAACCCCCCTTGTTGCTGCAACTGTTGTATCAGCACAACCTGATACTGAGACTGCAACCAAGCCACCTCCGCCTGCAATTGTTCTAGCTGTGGACGATAATGGCTTTCTACCCTTTGAATTTCTTTCTCAGTTAACCATTTCTGAGCCAAAGTAAGAACTGGGTTTTGTAAATTTTGCTGTAATTGTCCCCACTCTGCGCAGTACATCCGAGTCAACTGATCAAGTTGCTGCACTACAAAGCCATACCTAGTCTCTATCTGTAGAAGTTGGGAATTGGCAGATATTACTGGTGTGGCTGAAAGAATGGACATTCAATTGAACTGTGCTGAGTCACTGAGTACACATATGATTCTACAGAAACTGATAACCTTCCAAAATACTATTTAGAGATAACTGATTTCTCATTAATGATAAGCTAAGGCCTCTAAAGCACCTGAAACATTTCATATATATATATATATATATTTATTTATTTAATTAAATAAGAATGTTTTTAAAATGATATATTGCATACTAAATACATACTAGTATTATAACAATTAACTTTTTACATGGGCACTTCAAGTCTTGACAGAATTGTTACAGCTCAAATCTGGTGCTACCCCATTTCTGACACAGTCACAGTGTATTTTTAGTACAGGAACACAAATACTGATATGTACCTTTATTAAAAGGAAGTACTTTGTACTTTGTTTCATTAAATTACTGTATTGTATATGGGATAAAATGTAAACCAATCATTTATCTGATACTTACAATCAAAAATGAAACAAGACACTTACAGGGTTAAGAATTAATAACTGACCAAGTTCCAAGAATAAAAACAGAAACAGCATTTATTCATCACCAAAATGTCTTAATTAACCTGTATCTTGTTCCTTTTAAATGACTGAGGTAAATGCATTGTAATATTTCTTTTGGCAAATTAAGTACATATTCTAATAAATTTGTTAACAGTAGATTACTCAATAAAAAGCCTAGGACAGGCACTGTACTAGTACTTAATTATATGATGACTAATCAGTGTCTCTACCATTAAAGAACATGAACTGATGATTTATTTTCGCAATTAACTTCTTAATTTTTCAATATTTTTACCAGAATCTTTCAACCTATTTCACAAAACAGATTGCAACCAATTTCCACCCCTGAAATGACTTCAGATGTCACTAATTTTCAATGAAGGCGTTACACTGCTTGAAAATAAAAAAAAAAACACACCTGTCTCAACTTTTAGTTCTGCTGCTACCGGTACATGTACCGGTACTTGGGTTCTCTGGTCTTCATCTTCACTGGAACTACTGGTACTCTCTTCCATGCTCCTGAAGGGGAGTTCTTAAGTATTGAATATTCTAACATTAAACTGCTATAACAATAGTTTTATCAAGGTGGCTGCACATCCTAATGCTATTTATGTAACAGGGTTGTTATTTAATTTTTAATTAAAAAAATCTCTATAGCTTAAAAAAAGTCTGGAACAGGTAAATTTTACCATCACTTACTTGATAAATCTTCAGTCGTCCAATTCAATCCTTTTACCTTCTAGGTTTCTTACGTTTCAATATGCGGGATGCATATATTCTGTACATAGAACTCAAAATCGAAACTCTAAGAGGAGTTTTGGCTACTGAACTACAAAGCGAAAGTGGAAGTGTTTTGTCTATTTCCCTGAAAACCTCGTTTCGAAACTAGGTCAAGGCGGAAGGTGGGTTGAAGCGAAAAATAACGACATCTTTTGACATCGTTTATCCTTGAATCTCAGCTACCACACGAACTCTATACTCATCTGTTATTTTACCTACCATAGTGCAATAAATACCGATTTATTATTTATTCATATTTTCAACTGAATCACTTACTTACTTACTCGCGATTGAGGGTCCGGCTGCGGATTGCTGAGAGACCCGCCATATCAAATCTCAAGATGGTAGCGCGTGAGCAGTGTAGAATTGATCGTACACGAAAAACTATGCACTCAAGATGCTGGTCGACATGAATAATACATAGGTTAATTAATACGATCGACACATTGCCAAAGACTGATAAAAGTTTGATAAAAAGGACTACTCAACAAATTCTAAGATCACCAGTTATTTACAGGGATAACGAATTGTGAGGGTCAGGTGTGCCATGTGCCTTTACTTGTAGTCGTGGGGGACTTTTTTATGACCATCCCGACCTCTGCATTAAATTAGGTAACCCTTTATAATGCAGGTCCGTAGCCTGGAGGGTTCGAAAGAACCCCCAATTTTGCCAGGAAAATCCCCCCTCTGGGTAAAATTTTATGTAGCCTACTGTAGGCCTACATCGGTCGTTGCTCCCCAAACAGAATCATATGATATTACCCCCATCGTTACGTCCGTCATCGGTTTGAGAATGACCATTTTCTTGATGTCACTTTTGAGGTCCAAATGATTTTTTATTTACAGCACGGTTTTGAAAGTGACAGTTATGGTTGTGAGTCTCATTTTTACGTTGCGGGGTAGGGAAGGTATGGGGAAGTAGGCCTAATGATGAGGGAAAATAAAAAAATTAGTAATAGTAGTGTTTTTGGGGAAGAAAAACGTAATTTCATTTCTATGGACTAATTATATACTAGTATGTATGCCTGTGGAAAATTAAGGCCTGCAATTAATCATTGTGCAATATCTAGGCACACGTACAGAACTCAGAATTTAGCAGGCCCATGAATGAGCCTGCAATAGGCCTATATATAGGCCTACCACCAACATTTCCGCCATGCCAGGAAGCGTACGTATATTATAGGAGAGTGAATTATTTTTATTTCGTATGCTCTCATTTATTCATGTACCTGTATCTAATTTTTTTTTTGTCCGCAGCGTTAGACAGATATATATGACAAAATAATTGGAAAATTGGAAAGTTCAATGCTTTTCCCATAATTACTCAATTATACCATATCCCAAACCGATGGCAAAAATTCTTTCGTTAAGTTCTACGTTTCTAATTTTTTGAATAATTGTGTGCTGATGGAGACAGGGAAATTTCACTTGTAACGATTGTGAAATATTGAAATGCTTATAGTTTACCAGTTACATAAAGCACAAAAACCTCAACCAGCGTAAAGAAGAATACATACTAGTCAGGATCTATCAATAATTTGGTGAATGTTATAAATCATTCATCGATTGACGGCATTCTAGCTAAGTTAAAGGGATAATAACTCTTCGTATGAGATTTATATTTCACAATAAAACATTGTGAAAAACTCATAGAAATATAATATATTCTGTTTTACCACAAAAACGGCAGTTTTAGCTATTATTCTGATATCTGAGCTTGTCTTTAGACCACGTGACCTCCACTGATGGCTATACTCTGTTAAAATCTCTTAAAAGATTTTAACAAAAAACCAAACTTTTTAGAAAAAAACCAGGGACTAACTTTGAATGTAAAAATGGATTCATTAACCATTGGTAAGTATGGGAAAATTGTTGTTTACTCCAGGAAAATTCATTTTTAGGCCCAAACGAAGAGTTATTATCCCTTTAACTATCTTCGTGCTTATCAAAAACGGCCCTATTGTACATGCAGGAGAGTATTTTGGAGAGACAACTGACATTTGTACAAAACGGCCTGCAAAATGCATAATACGATGACAGTAAATAGGAAAACATTTTAGCGACATTTATGGAGATTAACTACCTTTCTACAAATAAATGGCTTGCACGTAATTATGGTGAGAACGAAGATTAGCAGTATCAATATAATTGTACACTGTAAAGATCCTGTCCAGCCTATCCCTTGTGTGAAGAAGTGCGTCGTTCCACCAGACTGTAACACTAGTCTCAGTTCGCTACCGTCCCACTGCACTCCTCCACCAAGTTCCTCACACAACTCCGACATCTTTGCATAAAGCCAGCTTGAAGCTTCTTCATCGGCTCTGTTCACACGTAGATTTTTCATCATTGTGGGAATCATTTTGAAGTCAACAACTTCTCCCGTAAGTGGATCAATATCGGCGAAATACATAAGGCTGCGCACGTTGTGAAATGGGCGCTTGTGTAATGGGGTAGGGGTCCCTTCGTAGTCACTGACAATATCTCCACAACCGTACATGATGAGTTTGCCATTGTAAACCTCTATGCCTTTTACATGGTGCGAGGAATGGCCGTGAATTACGTCCACGCCGGCAACGTCTATGGCGGCATGTGCAAATTCCCTCTCCATAGGAGAACTTTGCCATTTGTAGTTAGGTCCCCAGTGGATGGAAAGAATCACGATGTCTCCCGGTTTCTCGACTTTCTTTACTTGATCTGCAAGTTGTTTCACCACATATGGGATATCCTCAAAACTAAGAAGGTTCACTCCCGATTTTGTCTCTGTAGCGTTCCATTCTTCATATACGAGACCTGAAGTATGACACGCCCCAAAGACTACGATGCGTCCCTTATTCGGAATTTCAAAGATCGCCGGCTTCTGAGCTTCAAATATATTTTCTCCTGCACCAACATACTTCATGTTGGCCTTTTTCAGAGTTGTAAGAGTCTCAGCCAGACCGGGGTAGCCCCAATCTAGCACGTGGTTGTTACTAAGAACACAACAGTCCACTCCGGCTGCTTGCAAAGTTTCCACGTGCCGAGGATGTGTTCGGTACTGAACGCGTTTTCCTAGCCATGCGGTTTCGCTGGTGGTGATGGCTGTTTCTAAGTTTATTAAGCGAAAGTCTGGTTGTTTCTCTTGCAGGATCTGTAGCGCATCTCCCCATACGTAATCCATCCCGATCTCTTTTGGCAGGGGACCGTTCTTGTCTATGGCAAGTTGGGCGTACTCTCTAGAATCGTTCCTGAAATCCCTGTACATCCACGGTTTACAATGGTAAGGCAGGATTTGGTCTATGCCTCGCCCGATCATCACGTCACCCACCAAGAAAACTCGAATTATGCTCGTGAGCGCACCCGCCATTGTAAGAGCTGAAAGTAAACCAAATTTGTTTTAATCCAATCGAGCTCATAATGACCTGGCCTGTTAACTAAGCTTAATGCTTCTGTATAATTTTACTTTAGTCGTCTTTTCTACTTTTCTCTCTTATACAAATATGTGCCCGTATGTATTGCATTTTTAATAAGTAACATTAATCATATCTCTAATAAGTAACATTAAGATATTATCTAGCGCCCTCATCGAATTTAACTGCATCTTTTAGTCATTTCTGTTGGGTTTTCTGTGCGTGATCTGCAACTACCGGCATATATTCGTAGTTCTGAACATGACAGTGAATTAATGACAGTTTTGTTTTTGACTTGTTAAATATATACTACATGTAGTTTTATCTGTTTCGCGAAATAATTGCATTGATGGTGGACGTCAATATAATTCTAATCACCAATTTGCATATAAATGATTATAATTCAGGGCCGTAGCCTGAGCAAAATGCCAGGGGGGCAGTAAGCGGACACGAGGGGGCGAAGGCCCCGAGGAGGGAGGGTTTGGTATGGGGTGTCCCCCTCCCACGGTGTGGAAAATTAAAAAAAAAACTGTATGTATAATACTGCATTCTGGTGCATTTTAACTGTTATTTATTGGTCAATCAGAAGTCAGAAATTGTGGGTTCATTTTGCCATAAGTACAGTCATTTTTTCAACACAACACGCCAATTGGCCTGGGGGATAGCTCCCTCAGGGAGGGTGACCTTTTTTCATGAACTGAGTTGGCTAAAAACAGTACACCTTTGTAAACAGATTGTTGAATATTTGTCTAGTGGCCATGAGTGCCTTTTTTCACAGAATTGATACCAACTCTGCAATTATTTTTTTTACCTTTGCGATCATCTTTTTGCACCCCAATTTCCAGGGGGGGGCAGCTTCCCCCCCCCCCCCCCCCCCCCCCCCCCCCCCAAAAAAAAAAAAAAAATAATAANAAACTGTATGTATAATACTGCATTCTGGTGCATTTTAACTGTTATTTATTGGTCAATCAGAAGTCAGAAATTGTGGGTTCATTTTGCCATAAGTACAGTCATTTTTTCAACACAACACGCCAATTGGCCTGGGGGATAGCTCCCTCAGGGAGGGTGACCTTTTTTCATGAACTGAGTTGGCTAAAAACAGTACACCTTTGTAAACAGATTGTTGAATATTTGTCTAGTGGCCATGAGTGCCTTTTTTCACAGAATTGATACCAACTCTGCAATTATTTTTTTTACCTTTGCGATCATCTTTTTGCACCCCAATTTCCAGGGGGGGGCAGCTTCCCCCCCCCCCCCCCCCCCCCCCCCCCCCCCCCGGAGGCTACGGCCCTGTTAAATTTATTACATCACGTAGAACGACAATTTAACGTGTATGTATCAAACTGGTAACATTTCTCGTGCCACCTTGTGGCCATTCATAACATTAACTACAGAAATAACATTGCACACAGAGCAAGGACTGCTGAACTTGATACAACAGTATCGCATCTTGGGCAGGAGGCTGTATTTATATGTTTGTGGCCTACAGGGTTTTATGGGCAACTCTCTGACCACAGGGTTCGCTTCTAGTCTGTCACAAAATTACTCGAAAGTCTCTTCTTCCATTTTGTAACAGGTTTAAATACAGACTCCTACATGTAACACAATAAAACAAAAGAGTTTAAATTAAACTCTTGAATATCCCGCCATGATAAAAGGCCCGTGGATACAGATAACAACGCTTCCTTAATCATTGAAGTGACAAATCATACTGGCAATGTATAACAGCCTGAGAGCTACATTACTATGCGTAACTTCAATTGCTTGAGCTGTTAACCTACTTTTTATTGTAAATGTATTACGTAACGTCTATCTACATCCATCTTTAAAGCCATCACCGACGTCTTTCAGTTTTTTTTTTTTTGTTTTTTTTTTTGACATGTTTTAAGTAAAGGAATTACTACTAGTTAATATAAAAGGATGTACATACTGTACACGCAGTACTGAGTGGGATATTCCTTTATATATGTGAATGAAGTCACCAGATGCATTACATTGAGTGTTTTAAAGTGGGGATACGACACACTTTTGATATATGTCCCCAAATCGTGAATCCGATCTAGGTATGGGAATGGGGTCTGAGACTGCATTCCCACAGATTTTTAGATCGATCTATCCCCCTTGTCTATCCCTCCTACTAAAACCTGTACGCTCGACTGACAGCAATTTAGCGTGAACACACAGGGAGTTAGGTCGATCCAGATGGATCGATCTAAATCTGTGGGAACCCAGTCTAAGTAAGTAACCCGTAGAAGCCCGTGTCTGCATGCGTAATTCAGTAGGCCACAAACTGGCTAAAACTACCTGCAACATGTCGATTTCGCAAGTTTTTTCTTTGTTCTCGCAGCCCCATGGTGTAAGTCAGCAAGGAATGTTTGTAATTATCAATAGCGCTTCGTATGGTGCGTGTATATAGGTCATTCGACAAAAAAGTGAACATTTTAGCCACAAAATGTGCAATATATTCGCATAAGTGTTTGAAATCACTTTTAATTACCGTTGATTCCTTTCCATTTTAGAATAAACGAGCGAAAAATGGAGCAAGTCAAAACTGTGCAAATATTACACCAAACGTGTGCGTCCTTTTTTTTTTTTTTTTGCAATTGTGGAATGGCCCGTGTGACACCTCCCCTCCATTAGCTTGAGAGCACACTGGTACATGCAACTCACCGCTCTCTGTCTGTAAAGAGGCATATGATGAAGTAGAGAAGCGAGATTTCAGTGCACTGGCTGACTCGTTATGTATAGTGTAGTGGTGTATCATCTACATGCACTACTCTAGTTGGGCCACTGATTGTTTTTCCTCTACATATGCACCTGTCTCTGGCTAAATATTGTCAATATTCTAGCTGTGGCATGAGGAAAATGTGCCTAAATATCTGCCGCCCTGGTAGAGGATATACATGCACTATGTATATATGTGGTAGAACGGGGGAGTAGGTGTACCTGTGTCTATTGGATAACGTGTCCACAATACGTATGAGTAAGGAAGGGGGGATGCAAGCTGTTACACCAACGAGAGACTTCAAATATACATACGAACCGAGGATCGGTGGAGTGTGGATTCCCAGTAATACATGTAAACCACTTCTACTAGATTCTTATATGGCTCAAATAAATTCGACATGCCAAGGGATAAACTGAATAGATCACTCGATCAGCCGTAAAAGACCTTTAGACTGCTCCTTTCTTTAAATTTATGGTTGTAAATTTAACCTACTTCCGTGACCTACTTTCCTGCCCCATTGACATACAGCTTAGAATGCCAGCAGAAAAATCTGTTCAAACATCATTTTGGGGTAAAATTAAACAATGCCTTTTGGTAATTCTCTTAGTTATACTACTTGAAACTGTATACTGGCATTTGGTTGGTCTTTGTGACAAAAAATTGACTTTGTATGCATCTTTAAGTAAACAATTATCATATCACAGCAGATTGACGAAAGTGCACGTGGAAACCGCAACATTATTGTGGCGGCTACAAAATGGTTGCATGCAATAGATATTCAGAACTGCTAAGTTGATAACAAGTCAAACCGCCGTATCACAACGACTTTTCACTGACTGCATTAGCTTACAAAGTACTATTCCTCGGTTATTATAATGAGAATACCTTTTTAAACCTTAATTCTACATTTTATTCCACTTGACCCTAGCCAACACCATGCAAAATAAAATAAAAGTTTTTTTTAGGTTGTTGTAATATAGTTTTCTTCATTTTCTTACTTCAGTTCTTTACATTCTATAAAAATGTGGCCACATGGCTATTTGCAGGCTAAATTACCCGTCTTAGGCCTTTCATGCCGTGAAGTATCTAATCTGTAATAATATGGTCCCACTTCTACAGACGCCAACGGTCTACGTGGATCAACCCGACTCTCTGGGGAACTCTCGCTAACTGCAACCAGCTTAACTGAATGACAGGCGTTACAGAAAAACTGGAGGGCATACGAGCACGTTGGAAACAAGAGGAGGCATGGCATTCAGTTAAGCTGATTGCACTTAGCGAGAGTCCCTGCAAAGTTGGGGCGATCCACGTAGACCGATGGTGTCTATGGGAATGCAGTCTTCCCCGATTAGAGCGATCCAACTAGATCGACCTAACTCCCTGGGGGCTCACGCTAAATAGCTCTCAGCCGAGCGGGTACGAAAGTTAATTATCGCCTTACAGCTTGTAGTAGGCGGGACGGACATTTAAGCCGGATTGTCTGACAGTTATCTAGCGAGACTCCCCACTGGGAAAGATCGATCTCAAATCTATGGGAATGCCACCTAAGACCAAAAACTGGGGCAAATGGGTACGGGACATATTTGAAAATGCGTTTCGTTTTTTATTTGATTAGACGCGGTAAGATAAAAAACATGTTCGGCCGAAGAATGAATAAGAACAAAAAGAATATCCCAAAAATATTAATCATTTTACCTGTGACTTCCCAATGAATCTTCGTCTCCAACGAACTGTGTATACGGCGTTGAGACACCTCTGCCTCCTTCCCCTTTCAGCTAGTTCTGGTACCAGCACTTGGATATAACCGGTATAATATCCGTATTATATATGTAATCAGCAAAATCAGCAGGCCTGTTCACCAATTAAAGTATACTAGTACACTATTTATGATTGTAAAGGTCTCACCGGAAGTGCATGACCCAATTCGTTATTCGATATTATTGTAATGATAAAAGTACTTAAAAGTCCATCTAGGCTCACCACAGTGCCGTTATGCCGTGTATAGCTTATGAATGCGTCGGGACAATTTAATTGGTAGAACTGTTCAACACACATGTATATGATCTGAGCAGCCAGTATAATATGTGAGAGGTAATACACTGACACCCGAGTGATAATAGGCCTCTATTCCAGAACACTTCGAGCGACAGTGAGGGGTGTTCAGGGCATGCATCGCAAGAGTGCGGCAGTGTATTATATGACATATATACCGAGATAACTTACACGTAAATTACTCGCAAATTACTCACCGACTAACGTTCCTAATATAAAACCGCAGTAGAATTTACATTGCAACATGAATAAATAATAAAAATATAGTACACGTTTGTACAATATGCCTACTGGCATGTATTGCAAGGGTGTGACATAATGCAACATATGTAAATAATAAGATGTATAATATATGTTTTTACAATGTGCCTACTGGTACGTACTGCAATGAATCTCATGACATCTCTTTGTGATGTGCGCCAGTATTGCAATGTCATCATATTGGTCTGAATATGTGTCTATGTAGTGCATGATCATAATACTGCTACTAATGTGCTTATTTATTGCGATTTTATAGTATCTGTTTTAGTAATATATCCATGGTTTGCAAAGTGTTAAAATATCTATTTGTGTTATGCCTATGCATTGTAATGTTATAAAGTTTTTTTGTAATTTTTTTGTAATGTGCTTGTACAAGTGAATGTGTGTGTGTGTGTGTGTGTGTGTGTGTCTGTGTGCAGGATTTAAATTGATTTAGTGCTTTTGAATTATTTATTCACCTAGTCTAATAAAACGTTAAAAATAAAAAAGAATAAAAACTTGTAAAAGAAAAGAAAAAAGATAATAGCAGGAAAAATTGATTAAAACATATTGAAACAAAAATTGTTACGTTTAAAATCACTCACTTAGAAAAGTCATTCATTAAAATTCTATTCATAATTTTTTTTAAAACATAAGCCTGGAGATCATTTTAAAAAGAAGCAGGAGAGTCTATCCTACGTAGTAAAAGTGGGAGTAAATTCCATTCCCTAGGTACAGGTACTTTAAACGAATTGTCACCATATGTGAGACGTCTAGCTTTGCCGTGGTCTTAAGAGTAAATGGTCGGAAGAGCGTATAAATGGAGTGGGGGTCTCGTTAGTTGATAAATGTTCGTAAGTTGGTAAAAGATCCCGCAAATATGGTGGGACCAAGCTGTAAAAAGCGGCGTGAGCATACACTAAAGAATCCGTGCTATTATACATGTAGATACCGGTAGCCAGTGAAGTTGTTTGAGAATAAAGGTAACGTGACTGTTGCCAGGTAAGAACTCAAGCAGTAATATTTTGAATACGTTGTAGACTTTTTATTTTCCTGCGGACACCCATAAAAAACGATAATTGCAGTTATATAGTCGAAATGTAATAAGGGCATGTATGAAATAGTCTCACAGTGACCCATTCACACAGTGCTAAGCAATTGCATGAGTGGATGCCATATACACTTTTCTGACAAATGGCGTTCCTAACCTTGACCTATGCCAGATAAAAAGAAGTCGAGCCGACCAAGTTAAAGTTGACCGGCCAATGCAGCCAGATGCGGCGGACGCAGGGCCGATCTCATCAAGTGCAGGTAAATTACTCAGGGTTGGAACTTTGTTCCAGCATCCTATTAGGAATAACATCCAATATCAGCTGGACGGCCATTTTTAACGATATTTTTTCAGAAACGCTGTAATGGGCTATCTTACTATGACATGCAATATATACAGTTATTTATTAATAATAACTCTTTCAAACAGTAGGCCTAGCATTCAAGAAGGCTATTATTGCCGACGTATTTTTCCTTTTCGATGGCAATATACGTAGAACATGGAGCATTTTACATGACCGAAGGACAAAGTTCAAGTCAATATCTGTAATAGATTTCTTTGATCAGTTGATCAAATTAAAAGATACATGTTATAATGTGGACATTTTAAAACATTTTTATCTATGGCCTCTGCCAAGGAGGTTTTGTTTTTCCCTCCGTTTGTCTTTTTGTCTTTCTTTCCTTCAGAAGCCTAACTCATACGTATGTATGGATTTTGATTTTAAAAGTTTTCTGCATAGCCCAGAAAAGGACTAAGTTTAAAATGATAAGATTTTGGGTCCAATAATGTTTGAAAGTATTTTACACCATTGCCAATGACCTTGTGCAATGGATAAGCTCCCAACTACCACAATTAATTAGTGCAGGTGATTGGCGGAGGCTGCCATCTCCAGTTTTTTTTCTAGTTTTTAGATTGGTTTGTTTTTATTTACAGAATTTGTAAATAGTAAATCGATAATAAATAACCTTTGCTTGCCTGGGCAACGGCGCTGCAGTGGTGGTGAGTAAGTTGCGCAGTAATATCGCAATTTTCGCGGTATTTTCGTGCACTTGCAAACGAGACTTTGGTAGCCTATGTTGATGTTTTTTATTGTTATCAGCCATGGATGGCCATGAAACTGTTGTACTTATTACAAGCACTGTGGCCACATGCACGGGAGAGTGAGAAAATGCAGTTAACGTAGTTTTAAAATTGTATTTGTAAAAGAAAAAAAAAACTGACTAAATCGCAGCGCAATAAACTAGCTTGTGGACATGCAGATATTTATTGTTTTAAGACGTAGGCCTACCGTACAAGTAAATGTAAACTTAAAGACCGCAGGTATAACCATCAGTCAGAAAAACCAAACAGGAAGAAGGGCAGCGGAGATTTTGGTGC